CCCTGGAAAAAATCAGCTTTCTAGCTTGAACCGTTTTTGAGCAACATGACAGACAAATTGGTTTTACTTTGATCAATGGGCAATAACTTCCGACAGGAAGTGATTTTTTAAAAAATCGAATCATCGGTATAAACTTTAGATACAAACACATCAACTCTGAAAATTTGAGTAAATTCGAACGAGCCATTTCTGGAATCTTCTGCACAAATTTTGTAAAGAAAAAAAGAATAAATAATAATAATAAAGGTAAAAAAGAAACCGAAGAATAATAGAAGGGTCTTCCGCTGAAGACGGAAGACCCTTATAAAAGTGAAAAAGAAACTGAAAAATAATAGAAAGGTCTTCCGCTGAAGACGAAAGACCCTAATAATAAAGGGGAAAAAGAAACCGAAGAATAATAGAAGGGTCTTCCGCTGAAGACGGAAGACCCTAACTAGAGCAAAGCTCGATGCAAAGCAACGAGTAGGTCTTCCGTCCAGTTTTGACCGAAAGTGCCGTCAACATGAGAAAGTAATGAGTTAAGACGCATCCAGTGTCTTTGAAATTTTATAGTTTTCAATTTTGCGTCAAAACCGGCAAAATAAGCTATTATGGCTACTTCCGGTTTGACTGGAAGTGAAAGGGATGAAAAAATTTGGTTAGACGCTTATAGTGCCATTAATTAAACAATAACATGTCAAAAAACGCAAATTTTGCATTTTTTTTTACACATTCCGTTTTCACCGGAAGTGACGTCATTTTGGCGAATTTAGACAATTAAGGCATCATTCCCGGCTGATACTAAAGTCACAAGTAAAAAAAACTTTGGAAAAAACTCAAATAAAACCATTTTGTTCTATTTCTTTCAACTCAGGAGAGAAAGTTTAATTTTTCGACTACTTCCGGTTTACCCCTGAAGCTGTACCAATGTTTGCCTTTTGTTGATAATTGTTGATGTGAGCATAAGTTTTATTTGCCTCTATTAAAAACGGTTAAAATTTTCAAAAAATCTTGAAATTTAGCTACAGCAACAAAAACGGTCTTCTGTTCTCCTCTATTTATCTGTACGAATGAGCTTTTATTATTGTTAACAATATTTCAAATGATTACAGGAAAACAAAAAGCCCCAGGTGTAACTTACCAAGATTCTCGAACGTTACTTTAGACAATTATAGTCTTAATAACATTTACAAAAATCATTTTCAATTTTTTTTTCACTTCCTGTGACGACCGGAAATGACAGCGGATATATTTTACCAAAATCTGTTGCCTAATTTTCATGGTTTATTATTCATTTAAGTTCAGTGTCTTCATCTGTTACTGTTTAAGAGATCTCATAATGTTAACTTCTAGCTCATTTTGAGGAAAAGAAATCACGTGACCGGAAGTAAATTTTTAAAAAGATATTTTAGATTACTCTAGACATTTCAGTCTGAATATAACATGTCCTAAAATCATTTCAAATACTTTTTTTTATAAAAAAAATATTTATGGGATAGTATGATACAAAATTTACGCAGTTTTTCTCTCATAACAGGAAGTTGTCGTTTTTCTTTCCAGTGGGACTGACATATTTCAATACTACAAATAAGATGCCATAATGTATTACCAAGAAAGATTCCATAAAGAAAAGTTGAAATTTTTGAACTATATGATCTCTTCCTGTGACGACCGGAAGTGACGGCGCACTATATTAACCCAAATGGCTTTGCCTACTCATCAAGATCTACCACTCCTATAAATTCGGTGTCTTAATATAATCTCTTTCTGTTTACGAAATCAAGCTATGATAACTTCTCATTTTGAGGACAGAATATCATGCGACCGGAAGTGAATTTTACAAAGATATTTGAGGTTTCTGTAAACATATGCAGTCTGAATAACTTATCCAAAAATCATTACAAATACTTTATCTATAAAAAAGTATTTATGGGAAAGAAAAATACTCTTATTATGTAGTTTTTTCTCTTCTAACCGGAAGGTGTCGTTTTTGTTTCCGATGGAACTAACATATTTTGAAACTACAAATAAGAAGCTATAATCTGATGCAAAAAAAGTTTCAAAAAAGAAAAGTTGAAATTTTCGATATTTATGAACACTTCCTGTGACGACCGGAAGTGACGGTGGACAATCTTAACCCAAATGGATTTGTCTACTTATCAAGATCTATCATCCCTGTAAGTTTGGTGCCTTAATCTCTTATCGTTTCTGAGATCTCACTCGGATTAAATATTTTTGAAAAAAGCGGAAATCGGATATATCTGACGACCGGAAGAGAATCTTGAAAAAATAAAAAAAACTTCTCGGGGTATTTTCATTCTCTATCATCCCTGAAAATTTCAGGAAAATCCGTCCAGCCATCTCTGAAAAATCCTGCCGACAAGATTTGGGGAAAAAAATAATAAGAAGAAAAAACAGTAGAATCACTATAAGGTCTTCCGTCTGAAACGGAAGACCTTAATTAATACTAATTGACCTATGCAAGAGGATTATGAAATCCGGATGGGTCAACATGTACATGTATGTAGTTCACTATTGCATCATCGAGCATCAACTGCATTTAAGGGTTGATGGCCAAACAATATGCGATGACGATGTAGCGACAGCACTATCGCATTTTCGACCCTTTAGCTCGATGTTGTCATAGTGAACTACAGGGCCCTTTCAAGATTCCATAAAACTACGTGGAATTATCTGTATACATTCCTATTTTAATCTCTGATGTGACCACAACCTACCCCCTGGTGGCATAGAATTTGTACCTATCCCCGGGGGTCATGATCTGAACAAACTTGAATCTACACTACCTCACTCCTACTACATCAATGTGTCTGAACATGACTGTGCTATTCTTCAGAAATTTTACTATACATCTGTTTATGAAGCTGATAACTATGCAGTAAACTATCAACACTCTAATACCGGTACTTGGGTTCATAATTTGAGCAATCTTTAATCTGCAATACCTGAAGATGCTTCCATTTCAATATGACTAATCACGGAATGCTGTAATCTTGAGACGATTTTTCTCTATTAAATCCCTATGAAAAACTTTGATTCACCATTGTGGCTCACTCTTATCCAATTGGGAGCCATTGTTTGAACCAATATAAATCTATGATTCTTTACTATGTAAAGCAAGTGATTCTTTACTATGTAAAGCAAGTTTCCCATAAATTCTGAGTAAAGGACAAAATTTGCAGCTCTCCATCGTCAAGTGGTGGCATCTCCAGATGAGTGAAAAATTCTCGAGAGGGATGATAATAAAACAAACAATTATCTTTCCTTGAAATATAGCCTGGACCTTCAGCCAGGAATGCTCAATGGCAAGTTTGGTTAAAATTGGCCTGGAAGTTCTGTAGAAGAAGTCCACAATGTAAAAAATTTATATAAAGTCGTATGGACAGATGGACAAACAATGTACATTACGATAATCATTAAAAGAATGTAATCCAAACAATTTCCTTGACCTTTTAGCTCAGGTATATTAAAACTTGATTAATAAAACACCAAAAATGTAGACACATAAATATTTATTCAATTAAAAAAAAATCATTTTCAATATTGCAGTTTAATAATTTTAGTAATCTGGTGCCCAGTCCACTGTTTTTGTCACATACTTTGTATCAATACACTGAACTAGGTCCCCTTCCTCAAACTGAAACTGAGAATCTTTTACCAGCATTCCACACTCCATGCCTGTACTAACTGTGTCCACTTCATCTTTGTGATGTTTTAAAGAATCCAGTTTACCTACAAGATTAGAGGAACAAAAATATTAAGAGAACTTATTTTTTATTTGCCCTGCATTTACTAGAGCGTCTGCTCTAGTGTTGCAGAGTATGGAGTTGATCCTTAGTCGTGGGTTTGAATCCCACTGTAGGATGTGGAGACTGGTCCTTTAAATGAGACCGTATGAACAGAGTAGGTGCTGACATGAAAAAGATCCCTCCTTACTCAATGGTCATAGTTTGCCTTCCTGTTAGATTGTTCTAGATACATGTATCAAGGACTGTCGCTATTAAACTTTTACTCTGCTATCTCATCATAGCATCTAGACTAGCATATTCTTCAAGAACAAAGCTCTAATAGGACCTATATAGCTCCCATGATCTTGAATACAAAACTGTCTAAAATAGCATTTTTTTCTCTTGACAAAAAAAATAATTTTTTTTTTTACATGACCGTTATTGTATCTCATTTAAATCAAGCAGCAAATTTTCTGTTTTTATCAACCCATTTCAAAAATTTTTCCTTCAAGTTAACGGTCAAGTACATGTCCATATTAAATTTATAAAATTATAATTAGATTATAAAGCGATATAAATACACTCTGTGCTCTTGTTCATTTTCTCTATGTATACCTCTATACACCTCCTCTCCGTCTCTCATCACTTTGTACTTGAGTTTCCTCTGAAGGTTTCCCTGCATACAGCGACAGCCCGCCACATTTCTCTTTCCTGCTCCTTTAACTTATACTCGTATACTTTTTGTACCTCTGCTTCTCCTGTAATAGATTTATGACATTCAATCTATGAACATGCAATGAAGACACACATACAGCAAAACTCGGTTATAACAAAGTCCCTGGGACCTTTGAAATAACTTCATTATATCCGTCATTCGTTTTAACCGTATAAGAATTCATTAAATTTATAAAGCTGGGGATCCAAAATGACTTCGCTATATCCGTGAATTCGCAATATCCGTGTTCGTACTAAACGAATTTGACCGTAATACAACATTCTTTTTAATATATATATATATATATATATATATATATATATATATATATATATATATATATATATATATATATATATATATATATATATATATATATATATATACTTGCACTTAATTCATATACTAATATTGATAATAAAATATATATACATTTCCTTGTTAATAGACGGTTTAACTTTTGCAAAATGGCAAAATAAAATTTTATCTGCTGTGCAAGTAATTTATTTTTTCTGTTATATTGCAATTAAGGGTCCTCCACACCATGTGATTTGTGACGTATATAGAGAAAAAATACTTTTACTTCCGGTTTTATTGAATTTATGCATGAACGATTTGGCCTAGCACCGTTTGACAGTTTGTAAACAATGAACACATGGTATGATCACAGAGTGACCGATGGAAAAAGATATGTAGTTCTTTTTTTTAATAAAAGAACAACAGACATCTCCAAT